TACGTTCGCCTGCAGCTAATAAAGCGCGAGGTCGACTTTTTTTTCTACGCGTTTCTAAAGTTGTAAAAATAAATAACTGTCCTCTTAAAAGTAAGAAAACCGTACTGTCCCTTTGTTAGGCCTGGCTGGAACAGTTCATGCTGCAGAATAACACAGTGTTGTTGAGAAAGTATGACCTCTAAAGTTTAGAAATTCACAACAAAGCACACAGCTGAGCCTGTGGGCTAGCAGCCTTGGTGCATGACTGCAGGGTTAAGTCTACATTCATGCACGCATTTCATACTGCAGGTCTGCATCTGTGAACTAACTGATGGTTGGTTTTCCTTTTTCTGTTTCTTTCTTCTTCTTTTTTTAACCAGGCATTTCTGATGTGCACGCCAGCAGACAGTGGAGATATAATCATCCTGAGTAGTGATGATGACGATGATCATAAGGATGACAGAGACATGTCCTGCCTCATCGTGGAGGTGGTGGATGTGAAGGAAAAAGGTGACAGCGGTTTTATTTTGTTTGCTCCATGTGTTTGTGGATGATCTTATGACTAATCACTAACAGCCTCTGTGTTCCAGACTGCGTGTCCTCTCCCAGCACTCTGGAGGAAGACCTGGTCGTGACCTTCTCGCGCCACGCTGATGTGCTACCTCATGCTCGCTACGACTGTCCCATACACCCTTTTACGTGAGATACACTTTGAAATGACCATCAGTGCTCTTTACCCCCGTCTTACTGTGTCAGGTGCTCACACTGCTTTTCTTTGGCACGCTCAGGCCTACAGAGTTGGAGACTAACATGCCAGTAGACAGTAACCAGCTCATTTGTGATCAGTGCTTCTGCTACATCTGCGATAAGCTGGCATCATTGGTAGGTGTTAATGTTAACAGGACAAAATGTTTCTGACCAGCAGTTTGGAGGGTTCACTAAACTGTATTCATCTGGTTTTTTTTGCTTGTTTTTGCTCTTGCCTACTCAAAAATTAAATAAATGCATACTTTGTTTTTTGTTTTGTTTTTTAATAACACTGTATCAAGAAACAGTATGGGGGGAAATAAAGAATTAAAGATTTTTTTGTAGTGTTATCAGCTCATTTTAAGCTAATTTTGAATACAGGTCCTCTTCCACTTCTCTTACTTGTGGTGTGCCATAAAGTTCTGTACTGGGCTCTTATTGTTTCCGTTGTATCTGCTCCCTCTTCAGCACATTTTGGGCACCTTTAACAACATGCTGATGACCTTCAGTTATACATCTCTCTTTTTAAGCTACAGATCCTGAATAGGTCTATGAAGAGTTGGATGGCAAACAGCTTTCTCCAATTTAATGAGGAAGTCCTTGTTTATGCCCCTGACTTATTTTTGCCTAAGGAAATAGAAGCTCTTGGTCGCCTTGCCTTGTTTGCTAAATTTCTATCAGGATTTGACATGAACATCACTTTGAGTGTTCATGTCTGATCTGTGGTTCACACTTGTTTTTATCACTAAAGACATATTGTCAAGTCCCATTGTGTCACACTCTGACCTGGAGATTGTTATTTATGCATTTATTTCTTTACCCCTGGATTGCGGTAATTCATTGTTGTCTAAGTAAACACAACTTCCTGGAATGTCTGAAGGTTGGTCAGCGTGCTAAGTCTTCCAAGAGCTCTCATGGCACGCTGTTGCTGACCCAGCTGCACTGACTCCAGATTAAATTCAGAGTCGATTAAAAAAATTCAGGTTTTGATTTTTAGAGCTCTTCATGAACAAGCACCAGCTTATGTCAGTGAAGTTTTACATCCCTATGTCCCCAGCAGGTCCTTGAAGTCATGGGGAGGTCTCTTACAAAATAGTGATTGATGTGCTTTTCTCGCTGGTTTTCAGTGTGAAATGTGGTCCGTGAGCGACATTTGTCACTGCAACAGCCACAAGAGGAGCACCTTCTGGAGCAACCTCAGAAACCATAAGCTGCTGGGAGGACTGACTGCTTTCAACCTCACCCTGTCAGAAATGGACTCGCACCTCCGACAAGCAGGTGCAAACAACAAATTCATGCGAGGAGACACCCGAGATGAACCTCTTGTACTGTACTTTAAATATATCTTACTAATGTATTTATTTATTTTCACTTCATGTCCAGCGACGTTGCTGCAGCAGTTCAGACAAGAGCTCTCTGCGCTCTACTCGTCCTACATGAAAGGCGAGGCACTAAAGGAATATGGTCTGAGCCAAGAGAACCAACAAGGCTTCATCTACAAGTATGTTTCATAACACTCAGATTTTGATTTCTATATTGCAATGATTAGGAGCCACATCTGGACCAATTATAAATCCATAGCTGTAAGAGATTCCCAATATGTCTATAAATATGTGGAGCATTTACATTGATTATTCAGGTCAGTGTTTTTACACTGTCTACGGGATGGGCACGGTCATAGCTGTCCGCTGTCTCTACCCTCTGCCTTTGCTGCACTGCCGCCACCACCTTCAACATGGAACTTCATCACTTTCCCCAAGTCAGACTTTTTAAGGCTTTTTAAGCTTCTTGAGCTTGCAGGTATACATCAAGCAGCTGGCTCGTAAATCACTTAATGCTCTGCTTTGATGTACAGTCCAGTTCACAATAACTTTGTATAATTATTTAGACATTTGACAGAAGGCCAACATTGAAGTGTGAACCACTGTCGTGGATCACCTTGTTCAGCACTTCCTTCTGGTCATTGGTCAGAGCATCACATGTCATGAGCTCCATCAGGTGTAGGAGGTCTTTCTAATCTGGTTGGTACAGTTTTTTGTGAAACCCACACAAAAAAGAAGAAGAAAGTAGCCATCAGTGGTCTTTATATTCACTTGGGCTTGAATTGTGGTCAATTCAATAAACTTTAGTTATATAGTGTCAAATTACATCAACAAGTGCCTCACAGTGATTTGGATTGTAAGGTGAAGATCCTACAGTTAGCCGACCCCTCTCGAGCCAAGTACTTGGTGACAGTGTGAAGGGAAAAACTCACACTGCAGGAGAAACCTGCAGCAAAACAGAGCTCAGGAAGGGGCAGCTAACTGCTGGGACCGGTTGGGGGCAAGTCTGCCATATCTTGTTACGGATCAGGTCCATGGAAGTTGCTGTGACAATTTTTGCCTTGAACATTCCCAGTAATGAGCTTAAACCTGTGGAAAGACCAGCTATTCATCCTGCAGATCACCAAGGCTCACCTCAAAAACATGTCCCTTTAGACCATCTGAGGTCATTTTGGTTCCCTGAGTCCTGGTGACCAGTATTGTTTAACACAGCTGATGCCTTAACATCAGCCATTCTTGGAGAAAGGGTGCACACTTTTCTTTGCTTTTAGTGACGTATTTGGAGATAGTGTTATAAAAGCTTCAGTTTTTTTTCATAGGACTGCCTGGTTGTAAATCTGCGATTTTATATTTTTGATTTAATTATTTGTTTTAAAAGTATTTCTTTATTTATTGCTTGTTCTGTTGATGCATTACTGACTTCTCCTCTAAACCAGCGGTCCCCAACCTTTTTTCCGCCACAGACCGGTTCATGCCCAACAATATTTTCACGGACCGGCCTTTAAGGTGTCGCGGATAAATGCAACAAAATAAAACTAGTACCGGTACTGTAAAAAAGAAGATTTATTCATAACACACGTGAAAAGACCCAGGAAAACCGAGTTGAAAAAGTCTGACGTAACGTTTCAGTGAGGTCAGCTGTTAATTTTAGGAGTGCAGTGCTGGAACGAGTCCACACACTTGTATATTAAGACGTCTCTTTAACTTTCCTTTGTTTTTTGTTGTGTTTGTTCCAGTTACTCACCGGTGTTTGAGTTTGTGTCCTCGTTCCTGAACCAGGCAGATCAACAGGACAGCAGAGCGGCAGTCATCATGAGTCTGGGGGCTGCTGAGGACTTTATTAGACATTTCCATTTCTCAGGGTACTCACTGCAGCATTTCCGCTTCTACACACATTCCTTTTTTTCTTAATTTTCAAATGTTTTTCAATATTTTTTATTCCATTTACAGGGGTTTCATCTTTGCTTCTCCAATGGCTAATGTTGATACAGCTAAAACGATGTTACTGCAGAGGTAAATGCATGCACGTTCACTTCTTGTGTTACACCTGTAGCTCATTCACCTGGATATTCATCTTCTACTTGTGTTTGTGTGTGCTTACCAGGGTAATAGCATTGGTACAGAGACAGATGGTGATGGCAAATTTTACTCCAGACTTCATTAACAAACTACAGGAGTTTTGCAAGAAACTGCATTTCCCAGCTGAGCTGAGGAACATGAGAAACAGGTATGCTTGCCCTTTAACCTCCAGGGTTACCTGTTACATGTATATGTTGTTGCTATAACTTGATGTTTGTGTGCTCCAGCCTGTGTGTTCGCCCCTGGAACGACGTCCTGCTCGTGTCTGTGATGAAGGGACAGAACGTGTCAGGCGTGCGTAAGGACAAAGGCAAGAAAGACGTCCTGACTGAACAGATTTCTGTGATTCTGCTGAGGACGGAGCTACTGCAGCATCAGCGCAGGTTTGTATACGTGAACTCATCCACTTTGCTGTGTGTAGACAGCTGTCTAACTGTGTTGTTTCTGTCTGCAGGTACAGAGAGCTGTGTCGATATCTACGAGTCGTCCAGACAGACAACACCGCACAGTGAGTACATGCACAGGTTCCTCTGTTTTTCTCTCCAGCAAAGTGCATTTTGTGTTATTGTCATGTCAGTACATGATTTAAAAACATAACCAGCACTGAGTGGTGTTTTGGGGGTGAGGTGAGGACCAGGCTTGACTATTTGTCAGCACTTTGTAAGAAAATCCTTGATCCAGGTGCAGGCGAGAGTGAGACAGTTTCCTGGATCAGGATATCAGTGTCGTAGGTGTAACGTGTTTTGTTCTACATTTACAAAGTAAAAACTATAAGCCGATCACCCCCACGCCACGGCCATTAGGAAGAGGGGAGGTTTGAGGCGCTTCTGCACTTGCTTCACATTTTCAATCTTCTTCTTCCAGTCTAGGATGGATAATACATTTTTAATTGAAAAAGGGGAAAACTGTAGCTCTTCCATATTTCATAGTTTTAAAACCCCATCTGGAGTTCATTAATTCGTTAAATATAGGTTCAGAAATGACTGTCAATCCGCAGTTACCATCTATAGAGAAACTAAAATCTCAAATCAAACGTTTAAATATTTAGACACCAGCAGTGACATGTTGCTGACTTGCTGCATTGGATTTGTTTCTCTGTCAGGTTTCAGCAGATACAAGACCTCATCCCCTACTTCATGTGCATGGCTGGAGACTTTTCATCAGCTCTCACAAGTTTGTTCCCCTCAGTGAATGCTCCCGCTTCCCACTTTACTCCGGACCTCTTCCTCTTTTATCTCAAAGTCTTTGAAACAGCGACTGCACCAAAGCTGACACCAGTCAGTAAACCGGGAGAGCTCTGCTGTGCTGGTGCAGCATGGGAGTCTATTGAAGGTCCAGCAGAGATGTTTTGTTTTTTTTGGGGGGGGGTTGTACCAAGTTCAGAAGTGACCCAAGTCAGTTTGTGTTTGTGTCTGATTTTTCTTAGTGTTACTGTAATTATCACGAAATTTTCAGTTGAAAGTGCATTACTGAAGCCATTCATGTCATCACTCCACCACATTCCCGCTTCAACTGTGCATCCACATACACCTCAATAGAGATGTCACATGCACAATAATGTCATGTGATTGCAGCTACAGCCCTTTAAAGTTATACTAACTGTGACCTCTGTGCTTGCTTCTGTATGACCGCCTCCTGTGTGAGAAGTCTTTGTTGCTGTAAGAACAGTAACAAGAGCATATGAATCAGGTCACATGGGAATCTGATTTTGGCCACACAATTGCATCATTAATATGAACAGTTCAACAAAAAAAATCAACGCAAAACATCCAAATGAAGCAATGAGGTTTGCAGTGTAAACGTAGCTTCAGGATAAGATTTAGTATAAAACAAGGATTGATAATAAATCTGATTCCTCTGTGTGTAGATGCTGTGCCGCTGAAACGTCATGAGCTGGTGAGGTTTGCTCTCAGGGCTCAGGGATGCTGCAGTGCTGTATATGCTGATGTAAGTTAAAAGCTCCTCATTCAAGTCTGAAAAATGTTTTTGTCTCTAGATATCTGCCATCTTTATTTCTTGGTTTAGGTACATTTTATACTTGTTAAAACCTTGACTAGTATGTCCCATGTCTGACTGCATGTCTAATACTCCTCTGATCCAGTCTCGGTGTTGGACCAGTTTGCTCTCGATTGTCAACAAGCCTTGCGGTTCACTCACTGCTTTACCCATGCCCAGTATGCAGTTTCTGCAGGTGTGTACTTCTTGATTGTTAGAGTTAGACTTGCAGCTTTCTCCATGTTTCTCTGCTTTGTTTCATTCTGTATTTTGTCTCCTCGATGTCTGAATGATGAAGGAAGCGCGGGATGTTGTGAAAGGGATATTGCTTGATCAGAAGGGCTCCAATATGCAGATCCCACGATCCTTGCATGAGGTCAGTGCATTAACACTTACACTTCAGTGTTTAGAATTTGCGAGAACTAAACAGTCCAATGTGTTCGCAGGTGTATCCAGATCAGGCCTTGCTCCTGTTGGTGACGGAAGCTTTGAGCCAAAGAATCCTCGATTCCGTTTTGTATCCGATCCTACCTGTGCTCAACACCTTTCAGGTAGCCAACTCTTGCTTTCCTTCCATAGACGCCACGCCACTGTTTGTGCTTTCACATACTTAAGCTATATCATGTAAAGGGCTCTATTGGCACACGCAACAATAACGGTGCTATAATTTTGTGTAACTATGACAGTTTGAGTGTCTCTTGCATCTTTGTCTCGCTAAAGAAATAATTAAAGGTACTTTTCGCGGCTCCCTTATTTCCCAAGGCGTCGCCACAGCGGATGGATCTGCATCTTTTCATTTGGCACTGGATGGCCTTCCTTTTTTTCCCTTTCCCCCCCCTCAAATTACAAAACAACAGACATGCATAACAAATAAGACAAGTACAGTATAAAGAAACATGGAAAAGCTTGTTTTAGAGAATCACTCTCAGCCTCACTCTTCTCAAATTGATTACAGGTCATTTTTAATTTATATAGCACCAAATCACAGGAATAGTCACCTCCTGCTATGATTTATTGGAAGGTAATACAGATGACCCAACCAACTGGTAACAGTGGGGAGGAAAACCTACCTTTTAAGACTGGGGAGGGGGGGGAAACAAAACAAAAGACACACTGTGGAAGAGTCATAAAATCCACGTGTCTTCGGTTATTGGAACCACACACTGTTTTCCCTCAGTTAATTCTGTCTCCCGAATCCAAACTGGAAGCTGGTTCCACAGAAGAGGGGCCTGAAAACTGAAGGCTCTCCCTCCCATTCTACTTTTAAATACTCTAGGAACAACAAGTAGGCCTGCAGAGCGAGAGCGAAGTGCTCTAATAGGGTGATATGGTACTACAAGGTCATTAAGATAAGATGGGGCCTGATTATTTAAGACCTTGTATGTGAGGAGCAGGATTTTGAATTCAATTCTGGATTTAACAGGAAGCCAATGAAGGGAAGCCAAAACAGGAGAAATATGCTCTCTCTTTCTAGTCCCTGTCAGTACTCTTACTTTGATCTACAATTTTGTAGCTGCTCTCTAAAGAAATGTTTAAGATCCAGCTCTTCACTCAAGTCTCATCTGTGATGGAAACCACCTGTGACAGGTCAGATTAACACACCAGTAATGGATAAATAACTCTCCAAATTAATAAAAGCAGCTGAAGTTTAGTGTGTAGTTTCCAGCTGTTCACAGAAGTCTTTCTTCTGACATTTTTACACTTAGGATGCAGGATGCTTTCTCTTAGGTGAGAGTGTTACTCGCAGTTAAACATATGACACCACAACTTTAAAATTGTATGCTTTGTCTGTTTGTTTGGGGTCACTATTGATTGAAAAGATTCTATAATTTCACACTTTGAATTCTCGGGGGCTGTGCTGTTGTTTGTTGTTTAATCAGCTTTCTTGTGTTGCAGGAGAATTCATGGGCCTTTAGGTGGCTTTGTGAAAGTTTTTCCTCCAGTGAAGAACATCTGAAAAGATTCTTTCAGGCGATTGCACAGGAGAGGGAAAACAGCAGGTATGTGAACAAGTCTTGAGATAAACCACTACAAATCTCAGCATCCTTTAGCTAATCAAATTAACTTCCAGAAACAGAAAAGCTTTGATTTAATACAATCCCAGTTCCCCAAAAAAGTTTGTGTGCGTTAAATGTAAATATAAAAATGGAGTGTGATGTCAAGTGGCTTTATTGTCATTCCAACCATGTGCAGTTGTGCAGTACACAATGAGACGAGACAACGCTCCTCCAAGACCGTGGTGCTACATATGACATAGAACAGATAATCAACACAGGACTACATAAAGTGCAGTGTGCAAAAACAAAGACAGTGCAACAAGAGACAGAACGATACAGACACAACAGTGCAATAGAAATGTGCAAAAAGTAACTTGGTGTATGAATGTGTGTGATTCTGCAGATAAGTGCTTGGTATTGACGTGTATGAAGGTATGCATGTGTGTCAGTCCAGTTACTGAGTGTTCAGGAGTCTAACAGCTTGGGAAGAAACTGTCTCACAGTCTGGCAGTGAGGGCCTGAATACTCCAGTACCTCTTGCCAGAAGGCAGCAGGGTGAAGAGTGTGTGTGCGGTTCCTCCACAATGCAAGTTGCTTTGTGGATGCAGCAGGTGCATTAAGTGTCTGCGACGGAGGGAAGAGAGGCTCTAAAAGCGTTAGCTACATATTTATGCCGACTCATACATTACCTCAGCACAAGTGGGACAAGCAAGGACTTTTTAACTATGAAATATTGTCTGATAAAGGATTTTTTTTTTTTTTTTTAATTCTAACAGCCATGTGATAATTTCAGCACTGCACGTGTGTCTGACTGAATCTCATTGTCATTACTTTTCTTCTTGTTCCAGTGCATCCTGATTGCACATACTTACCCCCTGCAGAGCTACAGAAGTCTTAAACACTGTTTACAGCACTGTTGCCTTCCACAAAGGGTTAAATACTGCGGAGAGTCGCCAGCGTCTTACAGATGCCCGACTGTACCTGCGTCCTCACACCAGCTCATGTACAATGTACAATGCACATACTTCTGTTATTCACCATCTGATGACAAGAGACTTGATATTGATTCACCTTTTTAATGTTCATAAATGTTAATGTTACAGTTATAAATAAAAAGACAGTTTTATGCATTAGATTGCTGAATCGCTGCTTGAATATAAAATGATTTTATTGTCTCCACAGCAAGATAAACAACAGTTGTTGCTCTGTCATTTTATAAAGGCACTTTGTTTCAAATCGTGTGCTGTATACAAAAAAAAAAACACGGTTGGATTAACGGGCTTTTATGGAGTTCTAGTTACCACAGTAACTGATGGTGTAATGTGTACTTTTATAGACAAAAGTAAGGATTTTTTTTTAATTCTAAGGAAATCCGTGGTTCCTGGTGCAGCTGCGCCCACACTGGCACTACTACTCGGATGATCTGATATCCTCGTGTTGGTGTTGTTCCCAGACCATCATGAAAATGTTGTTCCAGGTTCAACATTGCAAGTGACCAATCACATTGTTGTGACGGTATTCCTTTGCGCGCCAAGCCATTCGTGCATTTATGAAATTCCAATGTTGCAAGGACAATATCAATTCTGCTTACTGTTTATTAAAGGGTTACGGTTAGGGTCAGGGT